GTAAGTTCTGTGGACCTAGTGTCTGACATAGTGACTACAGTTAATAATAATGTAATATGTACTTGAAATTCACTATTGGAATAGATCTTAGGCTGCTACTACACACATGGAAAGATAACCATGGGAGGTGATAGATATGTTAATTAGCTTAACACTGTGATTATTTCACAGCGGACACATAGATCCAAATACTGAGTTGTGGGGCTGGGGATTTAGCTCAGCGGCAAAGTGCTTGCCTGGCAAGCGCAAGGTCGTGAGTTCGGTTCCCGGTAATGGAGAAAAACCAAATAAAAAGAAACAAAAACAAAAAACAAATACTGAGCTGTACACATCGAGTGTACATAATTTTTATTTGTCAATCACCCTTAAATTAGAAAAAATAAGAATAAAATTTCTCAAGGCCAGAGAATCTGATGATTCACCTGGTGTGGGACTCAAGTGTGGGTATTTTCAGGGCACAGGGAAGTATGAAACTTACTGAAGAGTGTTCATGAGCAAGTGTCACAGCCATATAGTGTTTAACCAATGTTTTTGCAAGCGTAAAACCTCGTCACAGAATATTATCATCACTCTAGACACCTCAGCAGAGCAGTTTTTAAACAAAATAAAACTCTCCAAGTTGCAGAAGCAGAACAATGAAGTCAGCAAGGCTGTTTTTCAAAGCTCTCCCCTGTTGATTTTAATTTGCAGACAGGGCTGATTGAAGTAATTTGTTGTTGGTGCTGTACTTCTGGCCGTGGAAAGACTTCAGTGAAAGATAGCCCTAAGATTTTGGGGGATATTCTGGGGCTGACTTCTCAACCAGGCTGTTATTTCTCAAGGTGCCATCAACATGAAAAGTCAAGTCTGTCTCAGACATGTACCTGCGTGGTGTTGTGATTGTTTCTGCAACTTTTCACGCATGTCTGTGATTACAGCCTTCCCCGCTTTCGGGTCTATATGGATTAGTCAGCCTTTGGTAAAATAAACAGGAAGTATTTTATGTGTGCCACTTTATGTATGCTATTCTCTGAGGGTCAGACACTAACGGGTGGCAGAGCAGAGAAAAATCTCAAGTCGTGCACAAGTCAAGGGCAGGACTGTGTAACAGACAAGTTTGGGGGAATCGAATCCCTAGTGGGTGGACATCTGCAGAATGCAGAGGCCAATCTCAGCTGGCAGTTTCTGAAGGTCGGTGAGTGACACTTGGAACACTGTGATGGGAGGGGTGGACCAGGAAGGGGAAGGCAGTAAAGCCAGGGCACCAAGGAGCTCCAGAGAAGAGGTTGGGCAGGAGCCACAGAGCTGCGCTGTCCTGAGAGGCTGAGAGTGGGCAAGGCTGCCTGGAGGTGGTGAGGAAGTGTGCGGTGAAGCAGGTGTTACTTCATGTTGCCAGGCTGTGCTTGGAACAGTACCTGGAGGGAACGGCAGGGCTGCAACCACGTCCCCCGGAAGGCACTTATTTAATCTGCACAAAAGCTGGGTCTGGAAGGGCTCGCGGCAGCTCTGGGTACGGTGATGTGCACAGCAGGACTGCAAAGCTCTGCATTTCCTTCTTGCTCAATGATGTATCTCCTAGGAAGCAGCCCGGAAGTTCCCTTCCATTTGACCCTGAGAGCTGAGCAAAGATGCCCTAGGAAGGAGGCTCTGAGGGGCCAAGGGAGAAGTCTCCCTCCTCAGCTGGTGGCAGGACAGTCCTCGTGGTGGAGGTGGCACATGTAGGCATCTTCCGCCCATGGACGAGCTTGTACCCCAAGCCCACTTTAAATGTGGAGCTATGAAAAGCCTCCTACAGGCCAAGTAACCAACTCCTATGTCTTTTGTCATTGCTGCTGCTAAATACAGTTTCAGTTTTCATACAACATTTCATGTAACACCTATCGAAAGAAGATGACAACATGTCTTTGGTACTCAACATGTAAAACAAATTACAATGTTTCTGAATACCCAAGTCGACATCTAATATTAACTATAAGTCAAATTCTCTGAGCTTTTTCTCTAATGAAGCTATGCTTCATAATGAAAAACTGCTCTCTCCTAAAATGAAAGCAAAAAATAAAAAATAGAATGAGATCGAAAGATAATGGAAAATAGAGAAACAGCAAAGTGAGTTTTGAAATCTAACTTTTTTTTTTTTTTGAGAGAGAGAGTCTTGCTATTACAAGAGAGTCTTGCAATTCAGGCTGGCCTTGAAATCATGGCAATCTTCCCACCTCAGCCTCCCAAATACTGGGATTACAGGTGTGTGCCACCACATCTGGCTTGAAATCTAACTTTTAAAGACTGATTAGAGTTTTGAGAGCACAGAGAGCCAGGGTTTATTTTTTCTAGTGCTAGGGATTGAACTCAGGGCCTCATGATGTTAGGAAAGCACTCACCACTGAGCTATACCTCTAGACCCCAAAAGGCAAGTTTTGAAGCCACATATAGTTTTAACTTATACAGTATTCTGAGTTTGCAAACCTCAGCCTATATAACACACACACACACACACACACACACGTGACCAGAATTACTTCCTCCTTTTTCCTTATGAATTGAGTTTGAGTCCCGAGTTCTGCTGCCCACCTCTGCGATTCACTGTTTGTGGGCAAAGCAACGTGGACCTCTTGGCTTAGCGGGACAGTATTGCTCGGAAAGAGGGGCCTTGGGTGCTCTGAGGTGGCAGGAACTGTGAGTGCTTGGAGGACACTGAGGAGGGGACCTGTGGAGTGTAGGTAGGTGGAGTCACCTTAAGTTCTGCAGAGAGGGTCCACAGATGGGATTCTTCCTGTTCCCACCCTGCGCTGAGCTCTCTTGAAGAGCAGGGGTGGAGCAAGGCACCAGTGTGGGTCTGAATTGCATGAACGAGTAAGTCATGTTGTCTTCAATGCTGATGCTGCTCTGTGTACCCTCTTACCTCTGCTGACAGGGACCGCAGGATTGCGAGCACCCAGTGCACAAGGGAAAGTGATGGCTTTAAAAGCAGTACAACACTCTAGCATAGTGCTGGCAGACCCACAGCACGCGTGCCACAGTGGGCTGTTTGTATCACTGAAAGCTCTAAAAGCTTCACCATCACTGCTGTAGTAGATCATGATATTGTGCTTTATAATAAGAAGTATGCTATTCTAGGTCTTTTCTGGCTCCAAATGAATTTTAGGAATGTTTTCGCTAGTTCTGTGAGGTATGCTAATGGTATTTGGATTGGGATTACATTAAATCTGAATAGCAATTTTGGAAGTATAACCATTTTTACTACTTTGGTTCTTACCCATGAGCAAGAGCTACCTTTCCATTTTCTGATATTCTCTTCAATTTCCTTTTTCAGAGTACTGTAGTTTTCAACATAAAGATCTTTTACTTCTTTTGTTAGATTGATTTCTAAGTATTTCATTTTTTGGATGCTATTGTGAAGGGTATGGTTTTCCTATTTCTTTCTCAGTGAGTTTGGTATTTGTGTACAGGAAGGCTATTGAATTTGAGTGTTGACTTTTATCCAGCTATTCTACTGAATCTCGTTATCAAATCTAGAAGTCTTTCGGTGGAGTTTTTGGGGTCTTCTATGTAGAGTATCATGTCATCTGCAAATAACAACAATTTAACTTCTTCCTCTCCTATCATTATTCCTTTTTATTTCTTTCCTTTGTCTACTTGCTCTGGCTAATATTTCCAGAACTATATTGAATAAGAGTGGTGACAGTGGGCATCCTTGTCTTCCTCAAAAAGCTAGGATTAGCTGTCCCAATTGAGCCAGCTATTCCCCTTCTGGGAATCTTCCCAGAAGAACTAAAAGCATCATACCACAGTGACATATGCATACCCATATTTATAGTGGCACAGTTTGTAATAGCTAAATTTTGAAAGTAACCCAAATGCCCATCAAGCAATAAATGGATAAAAAAAGATTTTTTATAATAAAGTGTTACTCAGCCATAAAGAAAGATAAAATCGAGACATTTATAGCTACATGGACAGACCTTGAGGCCATAATCATAAGTGAAAGAAATCGGATACACATATATAAATATTGCATTGTCTCCTTGAAAAATGCAAATAAGAACATAAATGTACAATAGATATTGTGAAATAGGAAGAAACTGTTCAAAAGGAAAAGGGAGATGTGGGAGGGGAAAGAGAGCAGGGGAAAGGAAAAATGAGAAAAGAAGGATAAAATAAAAACAGCTTTGTGAATGGGGAGGGGAAGGAGGTTTGAAAAGAGGGGATGTGAATGGGAACAATAAAAAAGGAAAATAAAGAGGAATCAAGATGTATCATCCACAGATACAAATTCCCTATAATGAGCGGGAATTATGTACACCTAAATTGTACCAATAAACTTAAATTTAAAAAAAGACAGGCATCGGGTGAAATGAAGACTGAATAAATGTGTTGCTGTGTAAAAACTCAAAAAGAAAAACCGAGTATGTATTTTGGTTTTCATCCATTGCTCCTGTCACAGACCTCCTAATCCCTGAATGCGTCTGGGTGATGGGGTGTTTCTGTTCTGACGAAGCAGTGCTCGCTGGGCTCCTGGTGCGGCTGGTCACAGAGAGACCAAGCCCCGGTGAGAAGCTCAGCACTTGCAGACCCCTCCCGCCCCCAGCTAGGGGAGAGTTAACCCTCCATCTCACCTCTGTGACTTGTACAGAGAAGCCCTATGAAAATCCTCGGGGTTTAGAGAGCTCAGGGTTGCAGAAGGCAGGGAGTGAGGGGAGTGCCCAGCCTGGAGGAGGCCAGAGCCCCTTGCCCTGCTCTGCCTATCCTCATCGGGCAGGTGGGTAAAAACACTCTGCACATTTTCGTAACCAGAAGTGCTATGAGAGTAAAGAGGAAAACGCTTTTCCCATTATTCCCCACCTAGAGAAACACAGACACAGTCTGCTCTAGACGGTTCTGTGCACAGGAAGGAAACACGATGGACAGGAGACACGCGATGGGCTGGACTGGCCTCAAACTCACACTCAGACGGAGGACAGTGGCTGGGATGGAAGCAAAGCAGATGCGGCGCCCATCCGGCTGGTGCAAGGCCAGCCCCTTACCGTAGTGCGGGATGATGGCCCAGGCCATGGCAGAGGCGTAGATGCCGCCGATCATCCAGAACATGCAGAGCCAGCTGAGATGCTCACCCCTCTTCTCCCGGGCCAGGACTTCGGCAAAGTAGGAGAACACAGTGGGAATGGCTCCCCCGATCCTAGAAGGATAGAGAACACATGACCTTGGAGGCGGGACAGCTAATGGAAGATGCGAAGGGCAAAGCCAAAGCAAAGTCTCATAACACATCTTCTCTCCCTACACCAGCATGTTGAGAAATATGTGTTTTCACCATCTTATCATCTACTGTTACCCATGTTTGACAAAGGTTTGTTATCTCTGCAACATCTCGGACCTGCAATTAGGCTATGTGGCCAAAAGGTGGCAGTGGTACCCTGCTCATGTGGCTTAGCACTTCCATTGGGATTCCAATAGGCTTTCTGCTGTTCTATTAGATGATCTACTTGATACTTATTAAGTCGTAATAATATAGTGTAAACTAGTGTATATTTTAATTAACTCATTTTTAGAAAGACACCATGAATATGTACTGCCTGTGGGATGGGAACTCTGGAAGTAGCTCCAGACATCTGCAGGGCCCTCTGCAATCTGCACTCCCTGCTACACTGCAGCAACTGGCCTTGCAGCCCCATCAGGCGATGTGCTGACAAACTCAGAACCCAAAGGGCCCCTTCCCCCACCCACTGCAGTCTCACTCCTGTAGACACCACTGCTGCGTGAATGTAAATGGAAGGGACTTGAGGAATACAATAAGGAGCTGCGGTTTATGCACCAATGGGATGGGACATGGTGCTTCCTTCCAGCAGGGGCAGCGATAACAGCCCACTGATCTGGAGACTGACACGGGCAGTGGATGATCTCGGCTCAGGTGGAGGATCCTCAAACGAGGGTGAATGGAATCAGAGTTTGTCCACTCAGGGAGAAGGGCCAGAGATTTCATCAAAATTTCAAATAGGTCTTGATTCTCAGTTTGAGGAACCACTGCCTCAGAAAGGCAGAATGGAAAAATATTACTATTATTCCAACAATATGAATTCTTAAATATACTTAAGGAAAAGCCATACCACAATATAAACAGGTTGTAGAGACAACACTGAGTGATATACCAGGGATAATAAAAATACAGTGAATGTTTAAATTTAAAAACATTTATTACCGTAAAAGACACATTGTCATGAACACCCTTCAAAATAATTCCCCTCACTTCAGAAACACTTATTCCATCATTATGGCCACTTTCTGAAGTTTTTCTAGAAGTTTTCTTCTGTGAGTGCCTTTATGAGGTATAATAAAAATACAACAAATGGTGGGACCAAGTGCCATCCCATGGAAAGGCAGGCCTGAAAAACTGTGGCATGTCCTCTTCCACCTTATTCACCACATCTGGCACCATGTGACTTCTGGTTCTTCCCCAAAGTTGAAACGACCATGAGAGGCAAACAGTTTAAATCAGTTCAAAACATTGAGGCAGCCACTAGTGCAACTAAAGACCCTCAAGAAAGAAGACTGCCGGAACTGCTTTAGAAAGTGGTAGGAACAATAGGACAAGAATGTTTGAAGTGAAGGGGAGTATTCTGAGGGGGATTAATAACAATGTGTTTTTTACTGTAGTAACTTTTAAGTAAATACAAACATTTGCCTTGTTTTTGATCATCTCTTATAGTGATACAGTTATGTACTGCTGCATTTATGGTCAGATTTTTGTAAGATAAATTGCTACTGACATTTCAAACAAATTTGATGTCAAAGAGTAAAATGTGTTTATCCACTTAACAATAACTGATTTACTAAGAGCCTCTGATATGATAAAGAAGTCTACAGCGATACCACCTGAACGTGCCTGATCTCGTCTGATATGATAAAGAAGTACTGGTGTTGACTCTAGCAACTGCAATTCAGGGAAAGGCCATTTTCTGCTGCAAATTGGGTGTACTGCATGAACCACAAGATTTATAATATTCTGCATTTACTTGTAAATTAAAATATGTCACATTTCATGCATATGCCCTGATAAAGTGACACCATAGTTGGTTTTTTTTTTTTTTTTTTGACACTATATTTGTCCATTGGTGGATATAGGTAGGTTACTTAAGCCAGTCTTATTTAATCTGTGGGTTGTGAAATTAATTTGGAACCTAGGGACAGCATCACAAAAATTAGAAATGAAAAGAGATACAATTCCAGCAATAAGGATAAGCATAAGTTCATTTCAGGAAACTGCTGTGCTGTAAATGTATTTGTAGTGCACAATGTGTAGATAAAATGTATATGGGGTCATCGGGTGTTTCTTAGTGAAAGTTGCTACTTAAAGAGCTTTGAAGTCCCTACCTCACATCATCTATGTGCATTTCTGGGGCTCTGAAGGCAGTGATAGCACCCTGGCTCTGCAGAATTCTGACTCCACCTGTCTTCAGATGCAGCTCATGGTGATGAAGCAGCAGCAGCCAGGCGCCAGTGTACCCAGCTAATTTTCCAACAGGAAACAAATGCATATGGGAGGTTGTGAGAACTGGTGGGCACCCCACCACCCCTTAGTGGGCCCATGTGTTTACCTTGCCCAGTGCCTTAGGGAGCTCATGCTAGGTGAGTTTAAAAACCTGACATTTGAATAGATTTTAAATTCCAACACTGCATTCTATCAGAGAAGAAAATGTCTTTGTCAAAATTAATGCTACAGCTTTTTTCATGTGATGTGAAGAATCCATTCATAAGCATCATAAATCCTACTCAGATCCCTTCTCTATGGCTTCACTTTTCAATGCATAAAAACAGTTCCAGTTTTTACTGACTTTCTGCCACCTAATTAACATTTCAGTGGGATCCCCGGTGTTCTGTGTGTAGCGGCTACAACTCACACCTCATGAAGGCACAACTGCATGGCCAGGTATGTCAGGAGCTTCTGAACCAAGATAAATGCACCCCAGCATCACTGAAATTTCAAGTGGAAGCTTGCAGACTTGCCTGTTGGTTTTTAAGAAACCAAAGTGGAAGAGTATATCTACTATTCAGGGGTTGTGAGCAACCCAGTTGAGTTTGATTCAATGCCTGTTTTTATGATGGTTCTTTCTACACCGATGTGTCACTCTGTACAGCAGACTAAACCCAAGGGGATACTATCTCCATCCTTTGCAAAATTCTTTGCACTTGGATATCTTTAGAATAGTCTAGGCATTTACCATTGTAGGCTCATCATCTATTTGAGGGAAAACAGTTTTCATCTTACTATAGCATCCCTTAAGCAGGGAAAAACATTCCTGGTGCTGTGATGTTAGCTGTTGCTGGTGATTCACACTTTCTCACAGCTGGCAGGGGTATTCCTCTTTGAATCCTCATTTCCTGGCTCAGCGGAAATGCACCAGAGAACTGAATTCTCTGAATTCTCTGAATTCTCTGAATTCAGTGAGTCGCCACACCAAGCTTCCTCAGACAGTCTGTTTTGACATTTAAACATCTCAATGAAAGGAAATATACACTTTTACCTCCAGGGTCAATGTGACCACAAAGGAAGTTGAAGGTGTTGAGGCAGAGGTTTAATACCAATGGAGCCTCCAAAGAGTTGCTGAGCTACTCTGTGCCTTAGTTGCTGTGGTCACCTCTTGCTCAGATGCTCGGATGCCCCTTGTCATGGAGACAGTTCACTTAAAATCAGTCAGAAGACATTGGGGCATTCTGTTGGGCACCTGTGTACCTTCTAAAGAATGGTGTAGCTGCTATGATTATCACCGATAAAAGTATCTAAACAAGACGGAAAGTAGAACCTCTCTTGGCTTATAATATAGTTGGGTTCAGGAAAACACTGCTACAACCCAGCCCTCACAGCCTACAAATTAGAAAATATTCTCATTGCTGTTCTGCCTCATGCCTTCATGTGAGGGGCTAATACATTCCCTTAGTATTGTTATTGTTGATGCTGTTAATTGCATTAAGACACAATATATGAGGATATATAAAGAGATACAAAATATTTAAACAGTAATTGTCACATTCCCATGTATAAACAGTTCTTAAGTAGGGCTGACTTTACATCCCTCAGCCTCACCCTTGCAGGTATTTGGCAATGTCTGCACACATTTTGAGTTGTCACAGTTTCGGGGCTGCTACTGTCAACCAGTAGATGGAGATGTGGGAAGATGTTAATCAGCCCATGGTGACTAGAATAGCTCCCTGTACAGAAAAGAATTATCCAGCCCCAATATCAATAGTGCTAAGGTTGAAAAACTCTTGCAATGAATGGAGATTTTAATGTGGAGAATAAAATCAGATTCATATTTTAAAAATCCATAATATAAGATAGAAAGTAGTTATTTTTACATTACCCAGTGGGTAATACATCCTTTTTTCTTTTCTTTTCTTTTCTTTTTTTTTTTTTTTGCCAGAAATCGAACTCAGAACCTTGCACTTGCTAGGCAGGCACTTGTGCCACTTAGCTAGATCCCCAGCCCCAAATTCTTAAACTCAGTTAACAAGGAAATCTCATTGTTCATTATATAATGATTGCTACTTTTGAAATTTGTTCAGGTCCTTTTTTTTTTCTAAGTTCACTTTTGATGAATGTTTACATAAATGAAGTAATTGGACCAGAGTGTTTTATAATGAATTTTTCTCAGTATCAGATGTTAAGGCTATTTTATTAGCTGTCAAAAATTATCAAATCTTAATTATCCCTGATAATAGAAGGCACAGACTAGATGATCACAGAAATCCACACCCTGCATAGGAACAAGATCATCCAGATTTAAAATAATTGAATTTGCCTAAATGAAGCAAAATACTGATATCTGGCTTTCAGAGTTGGAGTAGTAGATACTTTTAATGATAGTAATATTAATTTTTATAAATAATATTATTTATAGGGTTTCAGTACATTAATTATAGAAAGATAAAGAGTCTGAAAATTTTGTATTAAAACATATTCCTAAAAATAAACTGGGACTTCCCTCCAATGTGCACATGCAAATCTACACACACACACAGACACACACACATGCACACACACGCACGTGTTACCTCAACAGGACTGCATGTGGCTCTAGCTAGGTGTTTGGCAAATACCGTGAAACATATTTATTTTCCTAAAAATCTAAGGCAAAGTTATGAGTGGGATATTATCTAAGGAAAAGAATGCATCAGCCTCACAGT